CTCAGTGCCGAATTCCAGTACCTTTTTTTGGGGTGTGAGCCATGGGAAATACGCAGCTGTAGCAATGCCTTCCCAGAACTCTTGGCTATTTAACTTCAATTGTTTATGTTCAGTTTTGGAAGCTCCTCATTTTCTAAATGTCAGTAGAAAAGCTGCAATTATTGTTTTCCCAAGCACAGAGGTGAGCCTCACCAGCCTGTAGTTCCTTGATTCCTCCTTCCTCCCTTTCTTGTAAATGAGAGTGACATTTCATCTCCTTTGTTCCAGTCCCCGCGGACTTTGCTCAACATCCACAACTTTTCAAATATGATGGAGTGGCTCAGCAGCCACATCAGCCAGTTCCTTTAGTACCATGGGATGCATGTCATCCAGCCCCATTGGACACCATAGATGAAATTTAGCCCAATCATCTAGCACCTTTTGTATTACAGATCCAGCCTTCTTTATCATAGAGGAGACAATTTACTCTCTCAGATGTTTAAATGCAATGCAATGGTGCTTAGGGTGACAGGAGATATGACTCTGAGTCTTGCTTAAAGCAAACCTGGTGTATATGAATATCGAATTCTCAATAACATGGAGAAGAACAAATATGATCTGAAATAATTACGGCCTTGCTCTTGTTTCCTGAGGAAATCTATCCACTTGTCTAGAGAGGCCACCTAGCTTTGGACAAATTTACGTTTTTGTGCATTTACTGTATCACAATCTCCAGCAACCAAATGTGATGAATTGATTCCTACCAAACCTTGCCATTTTCATCATAGACAAAATGTTTTGAATAAAACAAGCAGCCACTTTTTGCCTGCTTTGAGTTCATCTCCTGTGAAAATGTGGTCACTGTAATAAGGACCTGGAACATGTTCAAAGGAGGGCAACAAAGCTGGTGAGGGGTCTGGAACACAGGCCGTATGAGGAGAGGCTGAAGGAGCTGGGAATGTTCAGCCTGGAGAAGAGGAGGCTCAGGGAAGACCTCATTGCTCTCTATAACTTCCTGGAGGGAGGTTGTGGTGAGCTGGGGGTCGGCCTCTTCTCTCGTGTCATCAGTGATAGGACCAGGGGGAATGGTTTCAAGCTACGGCAGGGGAGATTCAGGCTGGACATGAGGAAGTATTACTTGTCAGAAAGGGTGGTCAGGCACTGCAATGGATGCCCAGGGAGGTGGTGGAATCACCGACCCTGGGGGTGTTCAAGGAAAGACTGGATGTTGTGTTGAGGGACATGGTTTAGTGGGAGCTATTGGGAATAGGTGAACGGTTGGACTGGATGAGCTTTTGGGTCTTTTCCAACTTCGGTGATTCTATGATTCTATGATTCTATGAAGGATGAGAGAAAGAGAGGGAAAGAAATGGCAGGGAAAATGTTTTTGAATCTTTGGGGGATGCTGCTGTATATGTAGGGGGAAAAGTGCAGAAACAGGTAGGAGTGTTGGGAGGAGGCTACAAGCTGCTATGAAAGCTGTTGGCAGCTTACAACCTAAGCAGGCTGGTAGCACAAGCTGGCCTAATGCCATTCTGTAAAGACAATCCTAGGGAGAGCTGTGAAAATGTCAGACTTTCACCTTTGAAGATCCCATGGGGAGAAGCATATTTCATTCACTGCACATTAGTATCTCCACCACGGCTCTGCTGTCCCAAAGGCAATTTGCCACCACTCAGAAGAGCTTGGCAGAGAAGCATAGTGTGCCCAGGAACACACTGATCATGGATGTCAGAAAAATAAGTGGAGGGAAAATGGAGTAATTACTGAAGCATCAAACATTTGTCTCTGCACAGGAGAAGTGTGGGAGTGGGCTTGCAGGGGTGGTGATTTTCAAGAGTGAAAAAGCTTGGGCAGAGTAGGCTGGAAGTGATAACTTCTGTCTGTGCCTGTGGTATACCAGTCCTTCAGATGTGCTTTTACAGTAAAATGAAGAAGCTCAAAGTTCTGTAAGTTACTGAGGAAACTTTTTTTTTCCCCAATGACAAAACAGTCATTTTTAATGCCAAAAAAAGAAGAAAGAAAGAAAGAAAGAAAGAAAGAAAGAAAGAAAGAAAGAAAGAAAGAAAGAAAGAAAGAAAGAAAGAAAGACAGACATTTAAGTCCATTTCTTTTAGATGTGCCCTTCTCCTTAATCACAAACAGCTGGGAATTTGCACAGAACAGCGACGGTAGGAAGGAACTCATTTTAATGGAATGTCTGTGCTGCAGATTGGCAAAATAATGTTGATAATTCAGAAATGTCAGGTTTTTCAAAACAAACTGTGGCCATGAATGTTTCAATGTGGTGGATTTCAGAATGAGACCCCGCTATATCAGTGCTCCCTGCCCCTGAAAAGCGGACACCATCACAGATGTTTTCCATTGGGCTCTCTATGTACTTCAATACTTTGGAAAGTGGTAAGCAATGTCTTCTGTGGGTTTTTTTCTTAGGCATGAATTCAACAGCACTGAATAAACACAAAAGATGTTGTGGCCAAAATGGGAATTTCTGATGCGTACACCGAAAGTTATTCATAGGCAACCAATTTTTTTTCCTAAGACTTGAGCCAAAAAAGTGCATCCCTGTGAAATGTTGAGGCATAACTCACGTGAAACAGGACTGCTTATGAGTCTTATTTGAACACAGGTTGAAGTGCCTGTAGGCCACAATATTCCTGGACCATTTGTAACATCATTTGAATGTGAAGACAATCATTCTTAATGGCATTAGCATGTTACAGGAAGCCTGATGGATGCTCTGGAATCTCTGCAGAGAAAAAATAAGAGGGGATGTGAAGAAGAAAGGAGAGGCCTCTACTGGCGTGAGCTGTGATGACAGCAAACTCCACTGTGGATTTACAGGATTTTCAGGGAATATCATGATATTAAATATTAGTAAGGCAGTACAGCTCCTTGTTCCAGCCTTATTACTGAAGGGTCGTACAACCAGGTTATGAACCTCCTCAAATGATGATTTGAGGTAATCAGCAAAACATTGGTGGGAATTGAATACTGCTTTCAGAGGTTATTTTAAAATCATGTACCATGACAAATTAAGACTGCAGTTTTATGTTCTCTTACCAACTCTCTTTCATAAATTTGCCAGCTGAAAAACTGAATTTTACACGATGGGCTGAATTCTTTACTGTTTTTTGTTTAGGTTGCTTTTTCTACTTTAGCCCTCTGCAGGGGAATATTTTAGTGCTCCAAATTATGTAGTTTCTGAAATGAGGTTAGGAAAAATTATAGGAATTTGACCATGATAAAAACACTGATGGGTGTTATACACCAGTACGTCTAGAGCTTCATCCTCTGGAACTGGATGATGAATGGTGGTAGGAACACAGGTCTAATTCTGTTTTCAACAGCCCTGTGAAAGCTTGCCTGATTTAGGGAAGGCAAAATGCTCTGGGGAAAAAGAATAATCCTCATGTGCACAATGAAGTAAAGCTTGCCAACTAAATTCAGCTCTCTGAAGATATCTTTTTCACTGCACACACTCTTTTCTCTTTCAGCTCCTACTTAGAGCCAAACCCTGAAGACTTTTCCTCTGCATAGATATTTCTAAGTGTGGTCCAGCCCTGCATAAGCACAACTTTAAAGGTGCTCCTCATAGCTGTGGTCATTCAGGACTCGTCAATCTCCTGCCCAAGCTGTATAGATAAATAGTAAGATGCCATGTGATTTAACTACTGGGGAAGATGGAGAAAAAGCAGTGTTAGAGGGGAAAACAGTTATATGGGAATAGAGCGTTGTAGCAAGATGGGAGCTGAGGCTAAGAACTTATTTGGAGGAATGGCATTATATGGAGAGAAAACAGGAAAGATGAAAATTTTAAAGGCATTTCACATCTTGTATCTCTGCTTTTGCAATGTTAACATTTAATGAATGTTGATGTTGAATATGGTGTCCTTCAAGACATTATCTATTGACAGACAAAATTTCATATATACTCAAGATGGCTGGAATACAGCTGACCAGATGGCACCTGGATGTTAGATATTTAGGCAAAATGGGTATTTCTGGAGTAGGATGGGACCAACCATCCTGTTCTTTGCTCTTACCCTGTTCTGAGCCCTTTCTCTGTACGCCATCCTGGAATCTTAACACAAATTATGAATTAGCACATGAAATTTCCCAGAGAGGCACTGGATGCCTCATCCCTGAAGACACTCAAGGTCAGGCTGGATGGAGCTCTGAGCACCTGATGGAGCTGTGGGTGTCCCTGTTCATTGCAGGGAGGTTGGACTAGATGGCCTTTAAGGGTCCCTTCCAACTCAGATGATTCTGTAATCATTCTACGATGATCATCTATCTCAAGGTTCATCTTAATAGAATGAACAGAGTGTACATATTTCCATATTCTGACTACAGAAGATGACTAGTTTAGATTTAGACACTGAACTTTGAAAAGTGAGAAGAATCGCTTGCAAATGTTGTCTTCAGATCAACCTACAACACGTGCCCCACAGAACTTGGGTTCATATGCTTGTGAGCAGATTTTGAACTTGTATTTTGAATTGTAGTACCATGGTTGTTATTTTCCATATAAACACACCCACACAAAGATTCACTGAAGCTACAGTAAGAATCATGTTACATTGGAATGAACTGGTATTAACAAGAGCTGGTAGAAGTGGATTTGTGTTTTTCAAGCCATGTTGTTTAAATTCAAGATTAGCAACATTTGGAGATTTTATACCTCCCAAGCTTATTTTGTGTCATGGAGAGATAAAGTGGCGTCTCTCCAGGAGGTGCTGATCTTCTGATAATCTTGGGAACAGTCTCTCAATCCACCCATCCAGTCTTTGAGTGTACTGAAAAATTAAAATGTGGAAAGCAGGTTAAATGCAGCTTAGAGAGTTGTTAATATTTAATTCCCACTTCACCGTGCTGCTACGTCACTTCTGTCTAAAGGGATAAATGCTTCAGATCAGCAACTGATCGATGGGAGAAAGGGAAGCCAAAAGGAAGATGAAAGATGCTAAGGAAGATAAAAGAATTAAAGTCTGACTTTGCTTTGGAGCACGAATCCTAGCATGTTACACCGCTGTGTCCTGTGCACCCTGACTCTTGCTGTGCTTGTGAGTAATTGCATGAAAGTAACTTTTCCTTCAGTGTTTTTTAATAATTGCTTGTTTTCTCCTTGGATCAGATTGGATACAGCTGTACTTCTTTGAATTAGTTGTTGTTTTGTTTTTTTTTTTTTTCTTTTTGTTTAAGTTACAGTTAAACAAAGTAAGAAGCTATGAAAAGTGAACAGCATCAGAAGGGACACAGTTTCTAGGATCTGTGCATCAGTGCCTTTCACTGCTTTCTTACCACTTGCTGAAGAGAAACATCATTGGCAGAATGCCCTTTTTTGTGTGTGTAGGCTTTGAAAGTCAGTAACAAGAAAGTAGAGGAGAGTTGTTACATCAGTTGAGCCTTGACAGTTTTCTTGATTTTCAGAATATGCAGCCTTATTAGTTCTCGTTTCATCTGCCTTTTTGGTAGCATTAATATTATTTAATGTGAGCAGCTCGGATACCAAAGGTGACAAATGAGTTGAATCAGCAGGGATACTTATGATGGAGTTAGAAATATCCAACAACATCAGACAGCTTAGAGGCTTTGCTGATGTTTTGCTTCTGGCAGTGATTAGGAAACCAGCATTCAGAATCACACACGTAGCAGAAAAAGTATGAAAAGTGGGGGAAGGATATTTTCTTTGCTTTTGAGATGATGTTTTCAGCATCTTCCTTTTGCTATCCTTCTGCTATACCATTTGCTCTCCCCTGAGAACTGGAATGCAGGGAACCTCTTCTCTGATGGATCATTCCTTGAGGAGTGGCAAAGCAGCTCATTCTTCGTGGATTGAGAGAAAAAAAGCACTGCAAAATCGCCGTATATATTTTTATTCATGTAAAGTTATGCTTTCCTTTGTGTTGCCCACAACAATCTCTGCTTCCCTGCGCTCTGAGGATTATAGTTGCTGTGTGGAATATCAGGATCCAGGTTAATAGTAAGGTCAGTAATATCACTGAAGGTCTCTATAAGGACGTGCCCCATTTATACAAGAGAAATGGCATTTTCTTCTACATAATCATGACAGTTGTGATGTTATTCAGACTATGCACTGAATAAAACCCATATGTTTATGTGTAAGTGTATAATATAAATCCCATATTGTGCATTTACATATCTTATTGTAACAGAGGATATGCAAACAATTGTTATTTTGCCTACAAAATCGCTTTGAAAAACAGCTTCCTCTTTTCATTGTTTGTAAAAATTAATAGTGTGCTTTCCTTGGAAGAGATGAAGTCAACTTTTGGAGAGGTTTTGAATGTTTTAGAGGCTGACTCTCACCTTCTATAAACTGAGGCTTCTTTTGCTGTCATCACTTGTGTGATGTTTACTGTAATGTGAAAAGAATGGAGATATTGAGCCATCCTGATGCGTATGAGAGAAAACAGTGGAAAAGCAATATTTAATAGGCATGATGTTATGAAAACGCCCAGAAAAACTAAAACCAATGTCTTTAAAACTATTCCCCCTTATCCTATCACTATCTATCCATGTAAGTAGTTAATTTCCCACTTGCTTATAATCTCCCCTTATAATATTGGAAGGCTGCAATGAGGTCTCCCTACAGCCTCTTCTAATTCAGGATGAATAAGCACAATTCCTTCAGCTTGTCTTCATAGGAAAAGTGCTCCAGCCCTTTGATAATCTCTGTGGCCTCCTCTGTACTCTCTCCAGAAGCTCCACATCCTTCCTGTATGGGGTGACCCAGACTGGGGCCTCATGAGAGCAGAATAGAGGGGAAAAATCCCCTCCCCCCTTCTGGCAACCCCTCTACTGATGGAACCCAGGATACCATTGGCCTTCTGAGCTGCAAGAGCACATTGTGAGCTCAAGGTCAGTTTTTCATCAACCACAACCAATGGCAGAAAATAGAGAACAGATCCTCGCTTTTTGGAGCAAAAAGCTTGTTCAGAAGACAGTTTTATTAAAGAATCATATGTAGATTCAAGATATTTCTTTGAAGGCTGGAAGGGGACATGTCTCTGCTGAGAAGCAGGCTGGTCTTGTATGCCCTTCACTATCAAGAAAGGGAGAACATTCTAGCTCCTTGGATCCAGGTTTGGTAGCGGCTAATGTCAGGCAGCAAATGAGTCGTGTCTTCTCAGATCCTTCCTGAAACTTCATCAGCTGAAACTCCTCTTTCTGTAGGTTGCTGGGAATGTCCATCCGGAATGTGATTTTATAGCAGAGCTGAAGAAAAAGGAGGCTGAATGCTTGGAAAACTCAGAGGAGTCCAGGAATGCAACATCAGGTATCCATTAGAGAGGGATGAATTGAATGACAGAGAATAAACACCCCACAAGGACCATGACTCAGTCACTGTTAATGCATGTTTGATTCTTTTACTCACTGTCCCACATCCCTGCTCAATTCCTCTTCTGTCTGCTTCCATACCTTCAATTGTTCTTTACTAATATTTTGTTCACATTCAAACATGGACAGTCTAATAGATATTTCTTTGTCCTGCTCCTTCCACTAGCTGAGTGCCATCATGGCATCATTGGTCTTTAACAACAGCGTAACCTCTTGACATGATCTGGTCTGTCCTCCAGCAGAACTCTCCCTCCCATTTCCTAAACACATTTTTTCATTTGTTGCATCGTGGGTCTGAGTAAAGCAGAGTAGATGGTCATCTGGAGGTGTTTATCTCTCACTATAAAATAAAAACTGAGCCTAAACTATTTTTATAAGAAATGTGAGGGGCAGAGGGTTGAAGTTAGAAAAAAAATCTTCCATTTTGCTCGAATGTAATCATGCTTAAAAATGTATTTCCCTTTCTGTCTGAGGTTGCAAGAAAGCCTGGGACAAATTACTGTGCTGGCCAGAGGCAGATGCTGGAGAGACTCTTGCCTTACCTTGCCCAAACATCCTCTTTCACTTCATGGAAGAGCCAGGTGATATTTTATTTTGGTTGTCTAATTATTATTGAGCTGCATGCCTGGGGCAAGCATACCTGAAAATGATTGATGAAGACAGAACACTGCAAAAATTTCAGCCCTGTACTCAGATCAGAGCATCACTGCAAAAATTTCAATCAGATTGGAGGATGCTGAGCAGATATCTCACACCTTATGCGTGATACACAGCTACATGTAATCCCATAGTCTGTGGTAAGATCCTGATCCAAAGAACACTAAAATCAGTCAAGTGGTTTGCATTGGTTTCCCCAGGATTCAAGATCATCTTGCTGGGTACATTTGTACAGAGCTAGCATAGGACTCATCTAGGTCAGAACTTAAGCATGGGTCTCAGTAAGATCTATGCTCTGATTAGCCTGGGATGAAATGAAAGGCTGAGGAATGAATTATTTGATTGTTTCTTAAGACCAAGGTTGGCAATACAAAGCAGAATCTTGTCATTAAAATAGCATATGTATTATGTTGGGTTAAACACAAGGCTATGCAAGTTAATGCCTTTGTTAATGCTTACTCTCTGGATAAAGCTGGCCAGGAACAAACTGCAATCCCATAAGGAGGAAATGATCTTCCAGGAAATATGCAGATTTGGCAGTTCCACAAGAAGAAAAGTTTTCAAACCCCAACCTCAGCCTCATTCAGTACTTGCTAGCTATGAACAGGGGATAAGGAAAATCCCTTTCATCTGCGTACTTTCATTTCCTCTTCTGGGATTCTCTCACTCATCCTTCATCTGACTCAGAAATCTTTTTATAGAAAACTGTTATCTCCAAAAAAAACCTTCTTATTCCAGTGTCTGGTCTCCAGAGGAAAGTAAGCCCCAAGGAAGGTGAGAGAGCAAGAAGGGGTACATTAGAGGGGTGAGAGATGAATGAGGCAGAAAACTGGAGCAGCACCTTCTTCTTCAGTGGGCTTTCTCAACCCTCCTATGATTTCTTCCTTACCATTTCACCTCTACTTCTGTCTCCTTTGTTCTCTCACTTCTTTCTGCTGTTTATCTCCAGAATAAAAGTTAAAACTTTTGTACCTGACTACCTGGATGTACGCATGCAAACAGTCCTGTCAGCAATGTGGGATAACAATGGCCATGGTTCTCTTCTCTTAGTTCAGCCTTCACACTAGCAAGACATCTCCTGGTTTTTATTTTCTGTGTCATGTGGCTCTTCACTGGTAAGACTAAGTGATTCTCTTTCAGCTGGGATAATAAGAAGAAACTGCACAAAGAAAGGCTGGTCAGAGCCATTCCCTTCCTATCATATTGCTTGTCCAGTTGAAGATGAGATTCCACTTGAAGAAGTAAGTTGAATTAAATAAACATATGTGAGTGATGTGGTGACGTTACAGGATTCCTTTCTATTCCTGAAGACCACTGGGGAAAGAAAGTCAGCTGAAGCTGAAGTTTCTTACCAAGTAAGGAATGTGATTTTACTCTGAACACCTATTTTGAGGAACTACATCTTATTTTTCAGCTATGAGAGAGTAATGTTTAGAAACACAGCTGCAAATTCTCTGCAATCACGCAGTTCTGTTGAACCTGCTTACAGATAGAACAGTTAAGATTCTCTTCCAAAATACTGATATGATATACATTAGGGCAATTCAATAAGATCAGTCAGCAAGATGGTTTTGTGGTATCACAGCACCGGTACAGCAAGTGCACTGCTAAAAGTGCACTTGCTAAAACACCACCACTCTGAACTCAGCAACAAAGCACAGGATGAGCGAAGGATTTCTCACCCCTAACATAAAATATTTAGATCACAGAATTGTAGGGGTTGGAAGGGACCTCCAGGGATTATTGTGTCCAACCCCCCTGCCAAAGCAGGTTCCCTACAGCAGGTCGCACAGGTAGGCATCCAGGCAGGTCTTGAACATCTCCAGAGAAGGAGACTCCACCACCTCCCTGGGCAGCCTGTTCCAGTGCTCCGTCACCTCACTGTAAAGAAGTTCTTGCGCACATTTGTGCACAACTTCCTATGCTGCAGTTTCCAGCCATTTCCCCTTGTCCTGTCTCCACTCACCACTGAAAACAGTCTGTCCTCGCCATTCTGCCCCCCACACCTTAGATATTTATAGACCTGGATCAGGTCCCCTCTCAGTCTCCTTTTCTCCAGGCTGAACAGACCCAGTTCACTCAGCCTTTCCTCATAGCAGAGATGCTCCAGGCCCTTCACCATCTTTGTGGCCCTCCGCTGGACTCTTTCCAAGAGATCCCTGTCTTTTTTGTACTGGGGAGCCCAGAACTGGACGCAGTGCTCCAGGTGAGGCCTCACCAGGGCAGAGCAGAGGGGGAGGATCACCTCCTTTGACCTGCTGGCCACGCTCTTTTTAATGCACCCCAGGATGCCATTGGCCCTCTTGGCCACAAGGGCACACTGCTGGTTCATGGCCAACCTGTCGTCCACCAGGACACCCAGGTCCCTTTCCGCAGAGCTCCCCTCCAGCAGCTCATCCCCCAACCTGTACTGGTGCATGGAATTATTCCTCCCCAGATGCAAGACTCTACACTTGCTTTTGTTAAACCTCATCCGGTTTTTTTTTGCCCAGCTCTCCAGCCTGTCCAGGTCTTGTTGAATGGCAACACAGCCTTCAGGCATGTCAGCCAAATGCAGATCAACAAGGAAGTAAAAACAAAATATGTTTCAGTGTCTATATCTGTGTATGGCATATTGCTTCAGCCAGATTTACACACTGGGTGATATTTAGAATTTATCTGCAGAGGAAAAATAAAATAGTGCCAAATGAGGATCAAAAAATACTGCATTTATTTAGTTTACATTGTCATTGAGATATTTCTCTCATTACCCAATACTTTCTGTGCTGATTGCTGTCATGCTGTTTAACTCAGACTTCCTTCCCAGCCTCTGCGGCACAGTACCTGCTGCTCTCTATAAAAATCACTTCCACAAAAATCCTTTTCTTTTTTTCTTTCTTTTGTTGCTTCCTTGCATTTATGCTGTAAAATAAACAACCTTAATGAGTCTCCAGATCTTTCTTTTTCAGCAGTGACTCATTTACCTCTACCTGAAGTCCCACTTTGTATGTTTATCTACTTAAGGCTATGACTTGCTGAGTTTCTCATCTCTGATTGATAAGTGGAAGATGCCAAGTAATGCAAGCCCAACACAGCTTTCATACACTTCTTATGGAGCAATGCTTTCCAGACCACCTGACAGTGAAGGCCACTTGGTGCAGTTTCCAGATCAATTAACTTTTCCAAACTAAAAATGAACACACAAAATTATCTTGTGTAAGGCTAAGCTAATGACTCCATGGTGGATCTCCGCTAGTGTTTTGGTCAGGATCAGGTGTAAGCTTTTTAAGAAACCTCTGGGTTTGCCCCTATTTATTGCCCCTATGTTGTTTTTGAGGAATGTTCTCAGAAAGACTGATCTGCTTTCCTATGGATAATACTAAACTGAAAACTAATGCAAGGTGCACCTAGTGTGCTCTGACCAAGAATAGAAGTCCAGCATGGATTCTACCATGGTACCTGGAAATGCTCACAGTGTGCATGTTGGGTTTTCCACACCAAAAGTTTCTCTCTGCTCTACCAGAACTACTGAGTTGTACTGCTTGCTAAGTAAGCACAGTGATAGATTTCTTCTCTTGCTGATGGAAAGCAACCAGGCTTCCATCTTCAGATAAGATGGATTGCCATCTGGAGGTGCTTGTTTCCCTTCACTAACTGAAAAGGAGCCATTCATAAACAGTGCTGTGATAACATCTAACCAGCACAGTCCTTGGACCGTGCTCTCACACTGCTCATTTGAAGATAGGCTTTTTCTTAGAAAGCTAACTGCTAATTATCCAACATAAATGAAATAAGCCCTACCCAATATCATGCTTCTAATGCCTTTGGTGAAACCCAGAGCTCAAAACAAATACATGCCATCCCTCCCCTTGAACTGTAGATAATCACACTGCACAGCTGCATGATTGTTAGGATGTAAGAATATTGAATGGGGGCCCAAGAGACAGAGCCAAGAGATAAAAAGGAAAGGTATACAGCCTGAAGCTTCTTCATTCTGTTTTCTGTGTCCGTGCATGACAGCTGAAGTCAGATAATGCTCACTCAGAGACCATGTCTGATAAGAGGTGCCATTCAGATAGAAATGGATTTTGATTGTCACAAATTGGAAATGCAAGCAAGAAGAAAAATGAAAGAAAACATCCCCAGGAAAAGAAAAATAATATATCTTTTTTGTGTTTTTTGTTTGTTTGTTTGTTTGTTTTTGTTTTTAATGGAAAAGGGAATAGGTGGCAAAATTATAAATAAGGAGATAGAGCAAAGGGAAGTGGAGAGACCATAAGGGAAAGCTGAAAGCATTCTTTATTCATCATGCAGCCTGCAGGATTGTCTTTTCACTACTGCTGTGCAGAAAACACAGTATGAATGCAATGCTTATGAAAATGGAGTTTTTTCAGTATCGTTATGGAAGAGTCACTTAGTCTTTTCAGGGCTTATGAGTGAGTTTGAAACCAACCTAATAAATAATTCTTTATCAAACTGTGTTATGTTCACATACCTATAGAAAGGGTCTTTGTGAAAGAAATATTAATGATCGATTTCAGTTGAAATTTCCTGTGGAATTAGGGTAAAAAAAGGCTGTCAGGGCTCTGAACAGTTTGGAAGCACCAAATGAAGCAAAACTGCTAAAATCAGAAAAGCAGCTGTCATCTGGCTGCAATTTATGTAACAAATCATTTTCTTCTCTTATAGCAATCCTACTTTTCTACGATAAAGATAATATATACCATAGGATACAGCCTGTCTATTACCTCACTCGTTATTGCTGTGACAGTTCTAATGGCATTCAGGTATGTGAAGTTACCTTCTAACTTGATTCATTTAACAGTTCTTTGTGCCTTAGTCTTTATGTGACATGATTTGACATGAGAAAGTAATAGAAACAGAAACTCAGAAGAATGAATTTAAGACTTTCAGACAATTTTGGTTTGGTAATATTAAATTCAGGTTAGAAAATAAAGATTATTGGAGAAACAAAGAAATAAGAATAACCTGAACTAGGAAATAAGCACTGATTGTCTGCTAGCAGTAGTCAGCAATTCAGATAATAATAACCAAAAGATAGATTTGCTTATTTTAGCTGGAATGAAGATAGATTTTGGTAAGCAATGTATGCTTGCTTATATGAGCTTAGCAGATTTTATATCAAGGAAAATAAAAAATAACTCAATTCTGAGCCAGTGTTCCTATGGCACTGTATATATCACTACTGAAACATTTAGAACAAACAACATACCCGTGAAGTTTAGTCTGAATTTGGCATGTTTGGTAACATTTCTTTCACAGTTCAATGTGAAATGATTGCTTGTATTCTTATTCAGTGTAGATATGATGGTTGCTACCATATAGGATTTATTTTACATATCTTTGCTTACTTCTTGTAGTTGTGCAGAGTGAAAAATAATAATAAAATAGAGATTTATTACCTCTTCTTGCTATTCTGTGAGAATCAGCTTTCTCTGGGGAAAGTTTCTTGACCTCTTCTGCTTCCTAGTTTATGTCTGGAAGTCAACAGTTACGTGTATTGACATCCATCCTGACCCTGAGAAAACAAACCAAGTCAAATAATGGGAAAGAAAGAAACAATTGACAGAAAGAGACTTAGAAATAGGGAGGAAAGACTTATAGTGAAGTGCCAACAATGGGGTTGGCATTTCTGTTTGGTAGTAAAATTCTGCACACGCTAACTGAGCTTTAAGAGTAGGTGACCCTGAGATTAATGGATCTGAAAGGAATGCAGCTTTTAAAGTCTGTATTTAGTAACAATCAGAAAAATTAATCTCTATTGACTCAGTGTGGGAATTTAAAATACATGTGCCAAATTGTTTTAAGGCAATTATCTGCATTCATTTCATTCATATGATAAATTTTTTGGTGAGCTAAGGAAGCATTCTTTAATTCTTGATAAGGCAATCCACACAGAGATTTAATGCAATTTAACTCAACCACAATATTTTGCTATGCAGGAAACTTTGCTAAATAATCATTGCCCTCTTCACTGAGGTTCAACTGTCTAGTTAGACAAGAGTATCTCTGCATGCCTGTTCTTGGGAGTGGTATAGCTGTAATCAAAGTTATACGAGTGAAGACCCTTCTCCAAGCACAGGTTTCTCGTCGTCCCCAAACAATGCCAACCATCCAACATCTTAGTTCAGGCACAGTGAACACGTAACTAAAAGGAGGCCATGATCTAACTAGAGAAAAGATGTAGACTGTGGGTGAATTGCTTTATGTGAGCAATTTATTTTCTGTCTCTGCCTGTTTACCCTCCCAGTGGATTGAAGAGTTCTTTCTATACATGCCTGGAAATACCTGAGGTGAAACAAGGCTTTATCGTGTATCTGAATTACTACCAGCACAAGTCAGTGAACTACTAAAGAAGGACTTTTCTTCTTTCCTTCCAGGAGGCTACGCTGCCCCAGAAATTATATCCACATACAGCTCTTTTTCACTTTCATCTTAAAGGCTATTGCCATTTTCATTAAGGATTCTGTCCTTTTCCAAGAGGAAGACATTGACCATTGCAGTTTCTCTACAGTAAGCACTTTGAGAGCAAGATATTGTGGTACTTGATAATTTTTTCATGCCATCTATGTGTGGACTTACTATTCATTTCTTCTTTTGCTTTTAAAAAAATTATTTCTTTGTTTCTTTGTTTGTTTTGTGGTGGTGAACACTAATTAGTACCCTCAGGCACTGTGTTCAAATGTTCTACTTTCATAAGGGTGGATATTCTGTCCATGTCCTGAATTCATCAATCTGTGATCCTCTTGTATTCTGAATCAGATTTAGACTGTGCTGTAGAAAAGAATAGTACCATTATTCTGTTACTCTTCTACGACCTACAACCTAAAATCAAAGATCTCTTGAGTATCTCATAACATCTTTTCGTTTTCTGGAAAGGTTGGATTCTGTGTTCTGACCGAAGCTCCAAACTGTAGACCACAGAATGTGCAAGAGACTGGACAACCAATTTAGTTTTGAACAGTGACAAACATTGGCAATAAGGTTGTTCTCAAACACAGCTTAATTAGCTGATTCTTCATTATTTCTCATGGCCACACAAAATTTAAAGCAGAAAAAGTGAAGGATCTTTGAACATGCTTATTTCCAAGAGCTAGTGAGCATTTCAGTCTACTTGCATAAGCTACACTGAAAGCAGTCCATGTGTAGGAGAAATCTCATGACTGGGAGACCCAGCTACATTTATAGCAAAGAGACATAAAGTAAAATACAGTACAGACTCCAAGCTGTTAAGTCCTACTCTTCAGAAAGCCATATTACATTTGACAGTCTCCCTTTAAACATGGCAGTAAATGTGAGATCCTACTCTTTTTAGGTCTTTAGATCTTTAGGCTCTTTAGATATTACACATCTGCAAATGTAATTTACATATCCACATGTTGTTTCATAATTATGACTTTGTTTACCTTAGACTGAATGCAAGATCTCAGTTGTTTTCTGTCACTACTTCATGATGACCAATTTCATATGGCTGCTGGTAGAGGCTCTTTACCTTAATTGTCTACTACTCTCATCCCTTTCTCATGGAAGAAAATATTTCTGGTGGCTGGTTCTCTTTGGTTGGGGTAAGTAAGGATTTTACATAAAATTAATGAAAGGCAAGATATTACAAAAAGCTTTATTCATCTGATTTAAAAAAAAATAATGTAATTGAGCCTGCCTAACTGAAGTCAGTAACAAAAATCAAAGCAAATGTTGAGTTTGCTTTTATTTTTACACACACATTATTGAGGAGCAATCGAGCTTTTTAAAAGTACAGCACTGAAGTCCCTATGAAAGGAATAGAAAAATAAGTACATCTGGGGATTTGCATGAAGTATCCGTCCCTGATCTGAAGACTCACTGTGGAAAACAAAAATCAGACAACTTCCTCCTTTGGTTATATGGACCAAGGGAAGTTTTGGTCAGTTCAGGTTAGGGTGAGCTTGGCAACTATGAATATCAATCAGTCTTTGTGTTTTGGGAAGATTTCAAGGAAGGTTTAAATTGGAGTGCATCACAATCAGTGTTTGCAAACTGTTCATATTGCTATCATTTGAAGAACTGATAGGCAATATTCGTTAGTCTTTTGTCATGTGAAAAGAACAGATTGTATCAATCTAGGTTTTAATGTGCTATCTGCATGCAAGTGCTAAGGTAAAATCCCATTTGAATTGTGTTTGTGTAGTTAAGAATTTGCAAGCTCAGACCTTCCTGGCATCACTATGCCATGTGCAAGTATCTTCTGTATTCCCCTACGTTTCACAGTGATGCATGATCACCAAATAGTCAACGCTATATCTTGTCTCATTCCATGAGATTTAGGGACCCACAAACAATAATTCCAGTTCCAAAAATGGCTGAGAAGCAGCATCTCAGCAGAATTCCAATGGACAAGATTTTGATTAATTGATGAAACCAGAAAACAAAGTTTTTTTTTTTTTTATTGTCTGACAGGTTTTCCAACACTTTTCACCTTCATATGGATATTAGCAAAGTTCTACTTTGAAGACACATCGTAAGTCACTGTTTCCTACATTACTACATGAGTTATATATTAAAAATAATGGTAGCTATGAAAGCTCATGTCATGGATATGGGAAAATAATATCAGTATGTTATTGGCATTCCTTTCTCTACATCACCATTTAGATAAGTGCCTGCTGTGGAGTTCTGAGTTTCCATTCCCCTGTAGACATAGAGAATGGGGATTACACCATCTACTGAAGTATAATCTGGCAGCAGTATTGTGATTGTGTAGGGCATCCTTCCCAGGAAGTTGATATACTTAATTTGGCTGCAAGAGAAAAAGAGATTCCAATCAGATAAGGAAGATGATACAGCAGAATTTTTGGAGCTTCTGATACAAAATACATTTGGATTTTCTGAACCTTGGAGTTCAGACAAACTGTTTCACATTTTAAATATGTGTTTTTGAAGAAGAAATCCATATCTTTATATCTGTCATCTGTTCACGTGTTTTATTGGAACTGTCACATTCTTGGCTTTTAATGCTTCATGATAGCTCTGTATCTTTTCAAAGAGAGTAGGATAATCTATAAGAAAATATGTCTTGTAGAGAGCAGATATATCTGCATATATCAGTGCTTGCAGTGTACCTACACCTCCATAAAAAATACATCTATTGAGAATTTCACTGGCACTGTTTTATGGTGTCTTGATTGCAGTGATCATGTACACCTCTTTTCTAAACATATCAGTATTTTCTCAGATGCTGGGATATTAATCAAGACTCTCCTTACTGGTGGCTAATCAAAGGACCTATTATAATTTCTGTTGGGGTAAGTATTTCTAACTCTGTGAACACTACTTGGAAGAAAAAACAGTCTTCTAAATGCAAATCTAGTTCCTGCTTGATGGAATGTTTTAGTTTTGAAGTCAGGAAGAGGAATGGTAGAATTTGTATTGTAGAAATGTTCTGTCACTTACCTACATCCACTGTAGGCCAGAAAGAGGCAGAGCACTGCCCTCTTCCAATTACTTACAGCAAACATTCTTCAAAGAATTGACATTTTCCTGGAATTTTTATTGTGATTGAAATTGGTGGCGAGTGATTAAACTATTCTCCTAGTATTTGAAAAGTGAGGTTTTAGGCTAATAATCCAGAATCAGCCCTAAATCTTTATACAGATTTTCAAGAGCAACGGACTTATTTCAGAAAAGATAATAATAATAGCTTCTGATTTTGATGTTCACTGAATAAACTGATGGGCCTTAAATGATTATGGCATATGATTACTCCCAATTGTCATTAAGCTTGAAGAATCTGAAAGGCATCAGCTGTTCTTAGAGTGGATGGCTTTAAAGCTATCTATCTAAAGATTAATTTAATTGGATCACAGATGCATACAAATAAGGCATATATGACAACATGAACGAATAATCTCAATTTGAACACTGGTCATAGTTGCACATTCTAATAAAATCTGACATTTCTTTCTACCACAATTAGTTTTCTGCTTACTTTTCTGTTTGACATCCTCATTTGATTCAGGAGATTACAGTGATGAATCCTCTGCTGGGATGTACTTTATGTTTCCCTGATGGATTTTAGAGTGCTAAGCTGAGCCATAGACTTTAGCAGGGCTATGCCCAATAGCAACTGGATAAAATTTACTTTGCAATTTAGGATTGACCCTAGGTGGCTCTGAAGCTGAGATTCCTCAGCTTTCTTCAGAGCCAACCATGAGAAACAGGCACCACTGGTATGCGAATCATTTGATGTCTGAGGTTGGAAGTGATGATCCCCAACTCCATCTGAGACCTTGAGGTTACTCTCCACTGACTGTAAAGAGAGAACAGGGTGATCAGCTCAGATGCAGCCTTCGTAGTTCTCTATATTCAACAGGATGAATTCTAATTTCTAAAGAAATGCAACACCCAGCTCAAACAAGAAAAAAAATACGAGCTACAAAGAATATGAATCACATGAGATACTGACAAAAGTAGCTTGTTTAACAGAGGTAAATTCTCGTGTTCTCATCTTGATCTCCTCTTCTGGGAGTGCAACCTACTGAGAGGGTTGAATGCTGCAAGGGAGGATTATAATGATAATCTTCCCCAGGTTTCACTGAAATGATACAAATGACAGTGCAACTGAAGGCAAATAATGATGTTCATTGAAAACTTTAATATGAGAAAGTAACCTTTTATTTTTGTTTTTCAAAAAAAATTTTGAACAGGTCAATTTTGTCCTATTTATCAACATCATCAGAATTTTGCTGAAAAAACTAGACCCCAGGCAAATCAACTTCAATAACTCATCTCAGTACAGGTAGTGTATGGAACAAAAAAAACCCACTGTCAATTAATTTAGTTACAAAAGTAGCTTTTCTAAACAGAAGTACATGCCCAGTGCCAAAACCAGACTCAGTTTTGCTGGCATTTAATATTAGAAATTCCCAGTGCTATCTTAATCCCTTTGAAAGTCATCAAAGGAGTAAATTGCTGTCTGGAGTTGTCCTTCTATGGACATGAACTATACAAGGAGACTGTGTATTTCTTCATCTTTTCTCATTTACAAATAAATATCAAAAATTCAATGGCTCAAGTAGAGCAAAAAATATTCTACTGCTTGTTTTTTTCCAGAATTACAATTTCATTTGGAAAAGCAAATGCCAAAATACCTTATGTCATAAATACAGTCTTCCTAATAAGGCAATAAGCACAAGAAGTGCCTTTCCAGCTATTTTCTCATTATGCCTTCTGACTAGCATTATAGTCCAAGGAGACAAGAACTCAATACCTAGATATTTAGATCTCCTCGCTAACTTTTGTTCATCATTATTACATATTGCATGCGTTGGTCTTTACTCTGAAAAAAATAATTCCCTTACTTCTTCTCATGGCTCGTGTTAGACGCCTCTCAAGGTCAACTCTGCTTCTAATTCCTTTATTTGGAACCCATTATATTGTCTTCAACTTTCTTCCGGAATACACCAGCCTTGGCATTCGGCTTTATTTAGAGCTCTGCTTTGGATCTTTTCAGGTAAGTTCACTGCTGAAACTTCAGTTCCTTCCTTGTAGATTTTCTGATTTAATCCTGTACCTATGTGACACCTAGGAGCAAACAAAAGATAATTGTATCTTGAAGATAGTATCTCCTCAAGGTTCTTTGCTGGGATACAGATCTGAGGATGCAATACACATCCTACCTGGATGTATGTCAGATTGTGTATTTGCAGATCACCAGTACATGACCAAGTTTTTGATATACATGTGTTAGTTCAACATTGGGTCAAAGTTAGACAGGACAAAGCCATCTTTGCTAACAGCCCACAGGCCTTCCCTGACTTCACTGACAAGATCAATCCATTTGGGCCTGACGATAGAAGAACCAGAGTCAGTCAAAGCTGTAGGTCCTGCCCCCTTTCCAATTCTTTGTCAAGGAATAAATTGGTAGTTCAAATATATTAAAAGAATAGCTTTGTTGGGTGTAGATGCCTCAGACAGTCTGCTGCTCTGGGAAATTTGATGCATTTCCCCCCTGTGGTAAGAAAAAAAGTGTTTCATGTACTTTGGGTGTCCCAAGTACTTTGAATTGACATACAAGGCATGAACAGCTCGATGAGCTTGCTGCCAGCTGCAACAGCAACTGGGGGTGTCCTGACATACCCCTCCAGGTAGATTTACTGCCTGAGTTAAAAGCAAGACAGCACTCTGCTTCCTTTTGCTTTCCTCTCTGTCTCTGTGCCACATCTCAGAGTCTAAAAGAAACAGATGTGTGCAATCCTACCAAACTTCAAAAGGGAGCACATCTCTCTCCAAATGGCTGCGTGGCATCAGTTGTCAGTGAGCATTACTGGAAACCCACAAGCTGTGCTGGTTCAGTCCTTGTGCAAATTTAACTGGTTGTGCCAATCCTGTAGAATCACCCCTGAACAACTGAATTCTGAGCTTCCATAGCTGGATCTGCCCTTCATTTTTAACTAACAAAGTAAGAAAAAAGTAAGCTGAACAAAAAGACGATGTGTTTAATGAGTAGCTGATTATATAGATGCACTCTCATCCTCAGATTTTCCTTTGTTTATCTTAGTTCAGAAACTTTGTAAGTGTATTCAGTAGGCAAAAATGTTATCTCATCTGATCCCTTGCTAAGACTGAAGTTGACAGAAAAGCTCTATGAGCTCCTTGACTGTAGAATGGGCATACATTGGCAAGCATAATTTGAGGGTTAATTTTCTGTATTGTGTATTCCTGTGAATTTCTATGACCTTACTGACTTTGGTGAAGGGCAATTAACCAGTTGATTACCTGACGGATGGGCTTTGCTGGAGGTACATGGTTTGTAAAAATCCTCTAACTTCACTGACTCACATGCACAGCACTTCCATGCAGTCTGTGCCAGTGGCTTTTTCAAACAGTGGTAACACTCAACTGCTCTTTTGTTTTGTATTTCATCTTCAGGGGTTTATTGTAGCACTCCTCTACTGTTTCCTGAACCAAGAGGTAAGGAAAATACATCCTTTAAAATACTGATTTCACATGAAGGTTTATGGAGTTAATAATTAGTATCATGCAAGCAGGTAATCTATTAATTTTTTTTAGTTTCACGGGATAGTCAAAGCAGGAATCTTTTGATTTTCATTTCAATTTTCTGCATGAGAATGAAGCCATCTAGTGGAGAAATGAGTGATTCCATCCTCTAGAATTTCTACTTGTCACTCCTATGAAGGGAGAGTCTTAAGATTCACGTATGCCACCACACGGAGCACCAGCCCTGAAGGCATCAGAGCTGTGCTTAGGAGCTGAACCGTGTTCCTAAACATAACAGTGAAATGTAGAGAAAGATTCAAGTACAAAGTGCAATCATCTGTGATAGAGGCAGCTGATTCCTGGGCTGTTTTGGCTTGATGTCCATTTTCCAAGCCTAAAGTTTTGGGCTGATGAAGATTGAAAACAGTATTTAATTGATTACTCTGCCATGGTCAATGTTTTCTTGATTATTTAGTAAGAATTTTCTCAAATATTAAACTGAGAGACTTCAAATATTTTAGCACTTCCTAGCATTTTGGTTGAGTTTATGACTGCACATTTTTTAATTGCGCTCAGCTAATATTCCTGTTCACCAGAGATTATTAATTGTCTCTAATCTCTTCTGATGATAAACTCATTAGCTTTACATCCAGATTGACGCTGCAGACATCCAGCACTTCAGTTCAGATATTTCCTTCCTATTGAGCATCTGGGAAGAGACATTTCTAATGAGATTCAGATGTTAAAACAGGCTTTGGTGTCTGGTCTGGACACAGTGTGTGTTTCTGTGAACATGCCAAGGCATGGCACAAATGCTTGTCAACAGCAGAAAGCAAATGATTGCCTGTGGCTTTTCCCCCTTGCTATCTTAAATAGCAAAGTAGTATTATTTCTTAGCCACAAATCAAGGAGTGTAGACTAAGGAACTTGATGCAAATTATACCGTTCTAGAAACAGATGGGAACAAGAAGACATCCCTTAGTAACTGGGGAAAGGAAACAATGTGGAGACAATGCGTTTAATTGCACAGATGGCATTGGTAGCATCACTCCTGGAATAAATTTCCAAAGGGTTTAGAAATTGAAAAAAAAAGAGAGGAAGAAGGACAGAATATACTGAAAGAAAGCTAAGAAAACATTCTATTGGTGGAGAAAATCATTTTCAATGCTAGTATTAGAAACCTCAAATTATTTCATTTTCCCTTCCCTTCCCTTCCCTTCCCTTCCCTTCCCTTCCCTTCCCTTCCCTTCCCTTCCCTTCCCTTCCCTTCCCTTCC